AGCGTTGTGGGGGTGTCAATCATGTTGGTTCAAAGGCAAAGGACCAAACATATTCCATAAAACTCCCGAAGCTTTTGACATATGAAACCTCTCTGTCTCAAAAGGATCCATACTGCACAGTCCCTTGGGTGAACACCCAGAAAATGCCAACGCATCCTTAGTTTTCCAGGATGGGCATGGTAGGGAAGAACCTTCTGGGCCATGCCCTTGCTCAGGGTTTTGACTGCAGTAAAGGACTCTCAGGTGTGTGTGTTTGTATTTCTGTATAGAGAGAGATCTTTATGTCAAAACTTATCAGTTGGAATACTTGAAATATGTTGCTTTTTGTATGTTAATTATGCCTCAGTAAGCTATGAAAGGGCTTTAAAAAGAGCTTTCTATCAATTTGATCTAAGTACTTTGGCCTTTCAAGAGTATAGATATGTTGATCACACCACTTTCCACACATACTGACCCCCGAAACGCTGTTTTCTGTCTCCCACGTCCTAGTCAAGTCTGATGCAGGTGCAATGCCTTCTGGGACTTATTCTGCAGGTAGAATTTGTAGAAGCAAGTTGAATCCCGCATCTAGGTCAGGACTGCAGAACACGCTCAGTGTGTAGCGATAAGAAATCACATTCGTGCATGTCTGGACAAGTTCTTCTGAATGTGGCAGCTGTGGGCCTCGTAAGGACTTAAATTTGCCAGGAGCTGACGGCTCACGCCTGCAATCCCAGCTACTCAGGAGACTGAGATCTAAGGAGCACAGTTCAAAGCCAGCCTGGGCAGGAAAGTCTGTGAGACTCTTATCTCCAATGAACCACCAAAAAGCCAAAAGTGGAGCTGTGGCTTAAATGGTAGAGCACCACCCTGACGTGGAAAAAGTTAAGGGACAGTGCCCAGGCTCTGAGTTCAAGCCCTCGTACTGGCACCGGTAAACATGTGTGCACACATGCCTCTCTCCTCCAGAAATTTTTCAAGCCCTTCACAGTGAACACTGAACTTTCAAAGGATGTGAAATCAGCTTGCGGGCCCCAGAATCCCAAACTTTAGTGTGCCTGTGCCCCTCACCCCACACCAACCCACAGGCACACAGCCCAGGCACCTCTAGACACACTTTTGTTTGGGGGGGGGTGGGGGTATTGTACCTACCTCAAGATGTTTGAGGAAAAGCAGTGTCTCTTGACCCAACTGTGTTTTGGGGAAGAGGGGAGGTGCTGAGCTTCCTCTGGCTCTGTCAGTTCCTCGCACTCCGGGTGGCCGTCCCATCCCCGGGCCCTTCCAGCCTGGACCATCTCCATCCAACAGGAGGTCGGTGTGCACCTCACACCAGAAGGCATCGCGCCCCTCGCTTCTGCCAGGTGCTGTGTTGCCCACACTGGGCGGGTGCTTCCCCAATGCCCCTCTGCCTCTCTGCTCCCGCTCTCCTGACTCCCCAACTCCACTATCAGAGCACCACTGCGGAAACCCAATCAGCCTTTCCGCTCCCTCCGAGGGGATAATCAAAGAGCAGCGTCTCAGGAGAGGACCTGGCTCGTGGAGCAAGTCTTTAATTTCAAGCTGACAAGGTTGGGAGCATGTGCCACAGGTGCTCGGATGGGCAAGATGAATGGATCGCCAGGAGTGCTGCTGGTGAGCCAGAGCCGGCTGGGAGGAGGGGCAGGGAAAGGGGGGCGGGGCAAGCAGAAGCACACAGCTTCCAGCACAGGGCAAAGGGTGAATCTGTGCCATGGAGGTCTGATTTCTCTGTGCAAACCAGAGCCGTGGGCATCTCTGCACACCACCCAGAGAGATGTCCCTTCAGACCGCAGCCGCGTCCCGCCTTGCAGACTCGGGGGCGGAACGCTGGTTCACAAAGCACCCAGGGGTCAGTGATGGCATCCTAAGTAGAGACTTGGTTAAGTTTTCAGTCCCTCGGGTCCTGCTCACAAAGGGCAGAGCCGCCCTGGAAAGCGCCCCAAGGCTCAGGTGCTGAGAATCTGGAGCTGCTGGGATGATCTTCACCATCCTTCGCTCCGGAGAGAAGAAACTCAGAGAGGAGGAAGCCTCTCAGAGAGCAATGACAAGGAGAACCGAGCACAGCAGCCTGCTTGGCATCTGTGGATAACACAAGCTCAGCCTTGCCAGACTCATTTCCTGAAGGAAGCGCGGAACTGTACAGCACGGTACGGGACAGCACCAGGGCTCCCTGGACCACAGCCAGCTGAGCCCACCCCTCACTGGCCCCTCACGGGCTCCGATCTCTGGCTGTGTGGAAGGGCAGCTACTTCCTGCCTGGGGAAGAGCTGGACTCACAAGTGGCAACCAGAAAGCCAGCAGTTCTAGTTCTAGTTCCCTGCTGTCGTGGGCCCGAGCTCTAGCCCTGACTCCAGCCAGCCTAACCCAGGGCTGGGGTTCTGTGGGCAGATGGGCAAGCCCAGGATGAGGACGCAGCTGCCTGGGGAGTATGGCTCCAACCCTGAGCCCGGCAGTGTGCTGTCTCCCCTCCCCTCCTCACCTCAGCCCCCAACAACCCAGTCCCCTAGGTCACCAGACAGGGAGTTGGCGCCAGCACCGTGGGGCTGACACCCACACGGCCTCAGTTTTCCCATCGGTGAAACGGAGCCCCAGTTCTGCTGTGCGTGAGCCTGCCAGGGGAGGGTGGCAAAGGACGGCAGCAGGCTACACCGCAGGAATGTGCCGGAAGGCACGGGAGGGAGGAGGCAGCTCAGGCCGTGCCCAGCCACAAGCTCTGCAGCCGTCTGCCTGCCATTCCCTCCCTGCCCTCGTTCCTCAGCCTGGAGTGACTCCATCGTCCCTGGCAAGCTCGGGCCCCTCCACTTGCCCCGTCGGCGGACTCCAGCTCGCTTTTCCAGACTTGAGAAAACCCTGACCGCAGGTCTACATCCATCTTCCTGACATTTTCTGGAGACCACTTCTCTCTGAAGTGACCCAGCCACGCCCACTTGAAAGAGGGGGTTGCGGGAACGCTTTGAGCCTGGGCACAGCCAAGCAGCCCTGTCCGCCCAGGATGGCAGAAGCAGGAGAGGAGGTCCAAAAGTAGGTCTTCGGTGCCTTGCCAGGCCTGCTTGTGCCCTCGGGCTGGCAGGACCCTGTGTCCCAGCTCGCGAAGAGTGCTGAGCCAGGCTCTCAGTGACATGGGACAGTGGGGGCTGGGGGGGGCACTCCCCTGGGTCTCCCACCCCTGGAACCCCACGGTCCTCTTCCCATGCCCTTGGGCCCAGCCTCCTGGGGAGTCAAGATAGGGTACAAGCTGGCCAGCTCCTGCCTCTTTGCTCCTTCCCAGCTTTTAATATTCATGAGCACTCCTAGCAGGGGAGCTAAAAATGTTCCGCTCCTAAATCTAACTGCTTTATGGAAGCCTAATTAAATTCTTTGGTAGAAAGGGGGTAAAAAGTGACCTTCAAAAACTGCCAAAACTGCTCAGCACGGTGCGGCCCTGAACCCTTTCCCCGTCCCACACCCCTCGAAGGTGCCTGGCCTCTGCTGACGAGATCCCCGCCTCGCCCTGAACATGCAGCATCCTAGGAGTGCATTTTTGGGATGGGTGGGGGTCCCAGCAGGTCAGGCTGCCTCTTGTCAAAGAAGGGCAGACAAGCAAGGATGCTGAGCCCTGAACCCTTGCCAACAGGCCAGCCTTAGGGTGGGGTTAGAAGGAGAGGAAGGAAGGGCAGTGTATGCACCTTGCCTGTGCACCCTGACCACACTCAAACAGGGGTGCCAACCTGTGCGCATATGTGTGTCTGTGGGCCTGAATGGGAGCTCAGGTCTAGCTGTTTCTCCCATTTATTAAGGGAACCAATCATTTCCCTAGGAGCCCCTGCCCCTTCTCCAGGACTGCTAGACCCTTGCCCCCCACCCCCCCAGTCTCCGTCTCCAAGTCATTTTCCTGGAGAATCTGATCCAAAACAGTAGCCAGGTTGTATTGCACAATGGTGTCAAAGCACCTAGTGTGCATAGTGGAGAACTCCACTCAGGATAGCTGTCGGACGATCCACAGAGCTCACTGTTTCCTAGCCCGGGCTCAGCATCAAACTCACATGGGGAGAGTGGAGGGTGGGTTGTGGTTTGAAAAGAAAAATCACATGTGGAGTGAACAAAGCAGAGCTGATGAACTCAAGCCTGTAATCTGAGGATGGAGGTTCACAGCCAGCCCAGGCAGAAAATCCACAAGACTATTACTACCACCACCACCACCACCACCCTGGCAATCAGTGCAAGCCCCAGTACTGGCATCAAAATAAATATATAAAGGAATGAGGTTATTTCCCGGGGCATTCTGACGGAGTAGAATTCAATCCCTAATTCCTACATTTAGAAAATCCCCAGGTATTTGTGGTGGGCAGCCACAGCTGGAACCCACTGACCTTGTCCTCTACACCGTCACCCCCAAAAACTGATCAGCCAGAAACCGCACCCCATGAAGGGCAAAGTGGCCTGTCTAAGGGCAGACAGGGTCTTGTTGTCCAGAGAGGACTCAACTAACCAATCTGGCTTGCCCAGGGTCAATGCCTGGATGGAGCGGAAAAAGCCTCCCATTCCAGCTCACCCCCAAAAGCATCCACAGCCATCACATTCATTAAGTAGATCCCAGGACCCAGGGCTACACCAAGCCCTATGCAGTCAGATGAAGTAGCCAACCATGCAGGTGGTGAGCACCAGGGCTTGGAGTCCCCCGTGCACTATGCTGGTCAGGGAGTCTTCCTGGAGGAGGCGGGGCCTGCACTAGGTGGTGCGTGAGTCTTCAGGCTGGTGAGGACGCTAGCCCTCAGAATGACCATCTCACTTGGTGTTCAGTCTGTTTCTAAGGAAACCAGCCCTGATTTCTATTCTCATCATCTCTTCTGGCAATACTGGGCGTTCCAGGGGCGCTCAGACTCGGGGACCTGCAGGCAATGATTGCCTGGTTTTCACAAGAGCATATTTTGTTCTAAAGATTAAAACATAGCCAAGGATTGGTTGGCAATGTCTTTAATCTGCCCCTCATTAGCCCTCCCCTCCCCCTCCCCCAAGGGCCGGAGTTCCCACAGCCGAGTGGTTCTATAGTACAGGCAGAGACAGTCTGAATTTAGGTTTAGCCACTTTTACCTATGTGACCTTGGCCGTGTTGCTCGACTACTCTGAGCCTTCATTTGTTCAGCCTTAAGATAAGGGAAATAGATTTGCACACACAGGCACACACAGCATTTCTATACAAGGGAAGCACACTACCACACGCATGTGTTGCTATTATTTGGACTCAGGGTACAGAAACCCAGGGCCATTTCCACCATGTTCAATGCCCTTCACCACCAAGTACCCTACGGGAAGGAGAGCGAAGACCAAACTTCCCCACATCCCACTCCAATGTTTCTCCCAACGCAGCAACCTGGCTCCTCCTCCACACCTCCTTCTCTCCACAGGTCTCTGGTGCCGAGAGGAATCACGCATTGTCACCTGACCCAAGTTGGAAGTCTTCCATGGCTGGTAATCTTTTGGTTCCTCTGCAGTGGTGGCTCTTTCCAAGAGCTTCTCTCCAAGAGCTTCATCTCTGCTGTCTTCCTATGGGATGTCCCCAACTCCATCTGGGATGACCCAGATGACCTTCGCCCATCCTCCTCAGATCTTCTGAGGTATCTGGACCCAGGCACTTAGCTGGGCATGGGGGAGAAGCCTATGATGCTCATGGAAACTGAGGCTGGGGCCAGACCCTAGGTTCCAGGACTCTGTCCCTTTATCTCTACTGATAACTACAGAAGCCTCCTATTGTTCTGTGTCAGCCTTCAGTGTCTCCAGTGCAGAGCCCCGCCCCGCCCCACGCCTCCCTCCTCAGAGTCCCCTCCAAGTCCAGAGGCCCAGCTCAGGTTCTCCACTCTAGGAGACAGGTCACGTCCACCACCCCGGGGTGCTGTGCAGCCAAACTAATCAATGGCAGAACGGTAGATTAAGGGGCCCTGCTCGAAGCCATCCATCACTGTCGTTTACCCGGGTCTGTCAGCCTGCAAATGGAAAAGGAGATGATGTGAAACAACCCATCTGCAGGTTTTTAACGCTCTTTACAAATTGCCGTGGTGAATAACTTGTTGCCTGTATTTATCCCTTTTCAAATTGTCTCTTAGCTACAGTCATCCGTCTTCATTCTACACCCTGATGGCGCGTGCACCGCCAGTTGGGCAACCTCATTAGTTTGCTGATGTTGGTGCCTAGAAGAAGGGGAGGAAGAAAGAGGAGAGAGAAGGAAGGAAGAAGAGAGAAAAGGGAGAGGAGGAGGGAGGGAGAGAAGGAGGGAAGGATGAAGGGGGGAAGGGAAGGAAGGAAGGAAGGAAGGAAGGAAGGAAGGAAGGAAGGAAGAAAGGGAGGGAGGGAGGCAGGGAAGGAGGGAGGGAGGGAAGGAGAGGGAGGGAGGGGAGAAATCTTAGCTGGGGGAAGGGTGTCCTCCAGTGGAACAAGCCTGGGTTTGGTGAGGACCTGGTCAGCCAAGCTCCTTCCCTCCAGAGGCCTCCAATTTCCCCATTCATGGTGAGAGAGGAACACCTTGGCCTAGGTGGTTCATTTCTGGTAAGCATACGACAGGCCAAGCCCCACACTCAGCTCTTGTTCCAGGGGGAGAAGGCCCCACAGGTGGGGGAGGGCAGGGGCGCCCCGCCCCCTGCAGGGCTCCCAGCTGGCCCTTCCCCCCCTCCTCCCCCGTTGTGTCCTGGGGACCAACCCAAGCCGTACCTGGCTGCCAAGCACTGTTTCTAACACTGCAGCCAATATCTCTGCTCAGTTTTTCACGGCAGACCTTTCCATATTTGAAAACAGCTGTGAGGAATCACTTGGATGTCAGTTTTCCAGGTTTTCGGTCCCCAGCTCCCTCCACCGCTCCTCCTGTGCCAGGGCATACAGACCTTGGCCCACCCCACTCTCCTTGTCCAAATGCTACCCCCATTTGTCAACATTCTCGCTCACTCCGCCATGGCTCCCAGCACAGAACGAGATGCGCCAGAAGTGGTCCAGCCCCTGCCAAGCACAGGGGAAGGTGCCACTATCTTCCCTCTTCTGGGCTCTGTGCTTCCATTCATACAGCCTGAGATCCCACCCATTTCCTGGCAGTTTCTGATCACCATGGGCTCACGTGATTCAGCCTACTAATCCTACTTCTCTGAAGGCCGCATCCACTGTGCTCCATCTGGTCCCGGGGGATTGAATCATAGTCTTAACCCAATTTACCACATCCACGGTGCCTTGCATGTCAACGAGTCTAGAAAGCCATCAGCCAGGTAAAGGAGATTCCGTTGTCTGGATTGGTACTTGGAGAACCCAGGACCATGCCTCCTGATCGCTACCATTTTCCTACAGGCTCACGAGCCATCTACTCACTAATCCTTCTGCAGTGCTGTCTACAGAAGGTTCTCCCACCCAAGGTGCTTGCTCAGTGTCTGGACAGGCTGCCTGACTGATCACCCCTGTCCTGAAGTTTATGGTGGTGAACAAAGGTGGCCCCAGGAAAAGCAGAGAAGGGAGTAAGTCCAAATATCACCAGCCCAGGAATGCCCACAGAGGCTGTAAATAGCAGGGCAAAGGGACTTTGAGTCTCCGGGTTGGGAAATTTATTAACAATGCCGAATATATTTCACTCCCCCTGTACAATGTCTGAGTCAAAATAAATAAATAAATAAAGTAAGACATCACTGGAATCTCAATCCTGCCAAAGCATTTCCTTTCTCCTATAATTAGGTACTCTGGATTTTTAGTATCATTTTTTTTGTGTGCGTGTTTGTTTCTTCTGATTTCCACAGGCTATTTTTAGGCCAATCATGACTCACTTTTTGAAAGGCTTTAGAAAAAAAAAGAAAGAAGGAAAAAAAAAAAAAAAAAGCTTTTTCCCCTCAGCAATCAAATGTTCCTGTCCTTTGGGTGGTATGCATTTAGGTAAGTCATCGCTGAGTGGCAGACCTGGGGGGGCAGAGGACACACAGAGCGGGGAGGGCCTGCTGTGGGAGGCAGGAAAAGTGAGGGGGACCTCCACACATGGGCTTCTGTTCCTGACCGGTCCTACTTGTTATCCCTCACTCTCTGCTCCAGAGAGGAAGCTGGATCCCAATCCCAGGAGGTCAGCCACAGGGAGAGAATCTTACATCTGGACGGTGCCGGGTAGCTCTGTCACCCCTGGGAAAACCACCATGCTCGGGCCTGTATTGGGCTGAGTCACGGTGGGCAGTGGCCAGAGGGAAAGCTGCTCAGGAAGAGACCAACTAGAGCTTTCCCCAGTGCGGCAGGCTACTTGGCAAAGTGGTGAGCTCCTCACCTCTGCAAGTAGCCAAGCTGGGTGACACCCTCTGCCATCCAAGGCCCCTTTCCAATGCTGGCCGTATGAAGTCCACCAAGGAGACCACTAGAAGAACTCCAGCTCTAAAGAAAGGAAAATGCCAGCACCAGTGGCTCATGCCTGTCATCTTAGCTACTCAGGAGGCTGAGATCTGAGGATTTCAGTTCAAAGCCAGCCCAGGTAGGAAAGTCCATGCAACTCTTATCTCCAATAAACCGCTCAGAAAACCAGAAGTGGTGCTGTGGCTCGAGTGGTAGAGCACTTGCCTTGAGCTGAAGAGCTGAGGGACAGCGCTCGGGTCCACAGTTCAAGCCCCACAACCGACAAAAAAAGAAAGAAAGAAAAAGAAAGAAAGAAAGAAAGAAAGAAAGAAAGAAAGAAAGAAAGAAAGAAAGAAAGAAAGAAAGAAAGAAAGAAAGAAAGAAAGAAAGAAAGAAAGGAAGAAAGGAAGAAAGGAAACTGAGTCACAAGGATCAAGGTCTCACCCAACACTAGGACTCTGGAAACTCAGAGAAGGCCAAGATCTGCATGGAATGTCTATACTTGCTCCTCAAAGCACAGACAACCAACAGGACTGGGGTACAGTGGCTTGGATTCCCACTTCCTCCCCCTCGTCCTTCCTGGAGAGGTCTGAGCTCTGCCAGGGTAACATGCATCCTCTCCCTGATTCTTCCCGCCTTCTTTAAGTCCACAGACCCTTTCCTGGGGGTAGATCTGGTTCCTTCCTTCTAGAGTTTATGCTCTAGGACAGATGTGTCGGAATCAACACAGCAGTAAAATGTGCACCTCCACAGGGGTAACACAAAGCACATCACTATAGTATATGTATGAGAGACAGACAGACAGACAAACAGACAGTGTATAGGGAGGGGAAGTTTGAAGACATACTTGGACCATCAATAAATTATATATGTTCTTTCTTGCCCACCAAGAGTCTGCCAGGCTGGGTACTGGTGGCTTGCATGTATAATTCTAGCTATTCAAGAGGCTAAGATATGAGGACTGAGGTTCAAAGCCAGCCCAGGCAGAAAAGTCTGTAAGACTCATCAACCAATTAACTACCAAAAAGATGTAAATGGAGCTGTGGCCTCAAGTGGTAGAGAACCAGACTTGAGTGAAAAAGCTCAGGGGCAGTGCCCCGCTCTGAGTTTAAGCCCCCCCCATGGCACCCCTAAAGTCTGCCAGATTCCTGTGCCCATCTCCTGATGCTTCAAAATCATAGTTGAGAGGGGTCTCCAGAAAAATGGAGAGACCCTGGGGAAGAACTTTACAGTTTTCCAATCCCCTCCTCATCCATTATTCCTGGATCTCCCATTCATCCACAGAACGGTTAGGCCCTTTCCACGCTCCAGGCGCTGAGATCAAGGAGATGTTCCTGGAGCTGTCAGTCTGAAGGAGAAGGCAGATGCTAGCAGATAGTAGGAAGGTGCACCTGCACTCACTCGGGTGCTGCAACTTTGCAGGAATCACAGCAACTGCGGGTGTGTGTGTGTGTGTGTGTGTGTGTGTGTGTGTGTGTGTGTGTGTGTGTGTGTGTGTCCCACGGAGGGGGACTCCTGGAGGAAGGGATATCTGAGATCTGACATTGGGATCTGAAGGATGCAGGCCAGGTAAGCAGGGGAGGACTGGGAAAGTGAGGGGACAAGCAGCAGCCTGATGCCTCGAAGGACCGAAAGCCACGTCCACTCTGAGCAGGACACAGATAGCTAATTGGGCCATATGGCAATCACACCCACATCAGGTGTTGCTAGGCACTGGAGACACATGCCTCCCCAGACAGCCAGCCCTGCCCTCCCAATCCATCCATCTGCAGCCTAGAAAGGAAGGCAGACAGCTTGAAACCTTCCAAATAATCACATCAGGACGTTCAAAGCAGTGCTCTCAAGGAAAATGGCAAGGCATGGGCCAAGCAGGAGTAGGACCTACCTGGGCTGCCCATCAGTTAGACTCGATGTCTGGTTCAATGGTGAGGACAGAGGGACACCAGAGAGCCTCCAAGAGAAGTAAGAGTTCTAACCTTGGACACCAGGTATGTGGTGAAGCCATTAACGATGAGGGGGAAGGCAGGGGCCATGGCACTGTGGTGCAGGTTCTGTGAATGTCACTTGGCTCTGCTGAGCTTGTCCCAAGTTCTCCCTAGGATAGACTGACAAGATGTTGGGGAAGGTTTCCATCTCCAGTTGTGCTTAATTGGAGATAGACTCTCACAGACTTTCCTGCCTGGGCTGGCTTCGAACCACAATCCTCAGATCTCAGCCCACTCACTGAGTAGCTAGGATCCTAGGCATGAGCTACCAGCATCCAGCCAGAAAAAAAATGTTTCGAGTAGAGGAATGTATTGCAGTATCAATCACTGCCCTCCAGGAAACTCATTTGCTGGATTTCACAGGATCCTGGTATGGGCAAAAGAGGGGTGACAGGTGGCATGAATGTGGGCAGGGTGACGCTTGGCTGCTTGGGACACACTCCGGGTGGATCAGGTGGCTCCCGGGTTGAGCCAGGACAACAGAAGAGAACGGGTACCTCAGATTCAAGCAAAGGCCTGGAAGTAGATCCTCACAGATCTACAGAAATACACAGGAGCCCTGGCCTGGGTTATCATTTGCGCGTCATTCACACATCTGTTCCTCGTGAACTTGAAAGTAAGGCCAAGAGCTGCCCAGGAGAAGAATTAGCATGGCCTGTGAGGTGGAGCACCGCCTCTCCTCTAGGCCCTCAACAGTTGAGCTCCAGCCCTAACCTGCACACCACATCCACACGGCAAAGCCAGAGTCAGAGGCTAATTAGGCAGCCCACAGCAATAAGTAGAGCTATCACTCCTTGAACTGACCCTTTCAGGTCTTACCTGGACCCCAGGCGCATTCCCAGAGTTCCTTGCGGCCACACACCTGCTCTTCCTGAGGGGTGCACGGGCCTGCCTCCTCTCTGCGGCTGGTACATTTTTCTACAGGAGAGGTCCAGGGCCCAGGGTAGACGCAGCCTCCAGGCAGAGCCCAGCTGGTTTCCAGGCAGTTCCAGCAAGACATCCTTTTTCTGCAGGTTTGGAGGAAATTGAGGATTATGAATTGGCTCAGAGGCCGACAAGGCTTATCCAGGCTGGGGACAAGGAAGATGGGCAAAAGCCAAAAAAACATCACAAAGAACAAGAAGCAAGCCTGTCCTGCTGCGGGGGTTTCTGTCCCAGAGTTTGTCTCAGGGGAAGAGGCTGTGGCCCTGTCACCTTGCTCGTTTAAGACCAGATGCGTTCCAAGTATATTTTAGATATGAGGCCCTTGTCCGTTGTATGGCTAGTGAAGATCTCCTCCTACTCCATGGGCTTTCTTCTGATCTTGCTAGCTATGTCCTTTGCCATGCAGAAGCTCTGCAGCTTCATGCAATCCCATTTGTCCAACCTTTCTTTGATTTGTTGTGATTCTGGGTCTCTATTGAGAAAATTTCAGCCTGTGCCTAGGAGACCTAGAGTTTCTCCTATTCCTTCCTGTAATGTTTTCAGGGTGTCTGCTTTGATTTCGGGATCTTTGATCCATCTGGAGTTGATTCTGGTGCAGGGTGATATATAAGGATCTAACTTTAGTTTTCTACAGGTACTTAACCAATTTTGCCAGCACCATTTACTGAAGAGGCTGTCTTTCTTCCCTTCTATAGCTCCCGTGGCTATAGGTCTGTGGGTTTATTTCTGGGTTTTCAATTCTATTCCATTGGGACACAAGTGGTTTTTTCTTTCTTGGTATTGTTTCTAACATATTTATAATGCACCATGTGATTTTTTTTGTTTCTTTGAATGTCCCTCCCCCACAGTATAACCCCTGTTTTCACTGTATTTGATGTCGGTGCCCTGCATCTTGTATATACACTTCTCTAGTTTGGGGAAGGGAGGGGAAAAAACAAATGCTTCAATAGGGAAACAGGTTGACCCATTGTAGCAATGAGATGTACAAGACACTATGTTGAAAAATGAACTTGACAATTTAGGCGGGGAGAGAGGAGGGAGGGGGAGGGGAGTGTAGTTGTAGAGGTGGGAGGGAAGGAAGGGTAGGGGGAAAACAAAGAATGTAACAATGCTTGATTGGAAATGTAC